ACGGGCCCGCCTGCCGTCCACTGTCGCCCCCCGTTGACAGGGACGCTCTGGGGGCCGCCGTGTGGCGGGTAGCGAGGCGCAGGCGCCGGCCGGGCAGAAGGGGACCCCCGGGGGGACCCCGGCGGCCGCGCACCCGGGTGCTCCCTGCGCCGCTTCCTTCGCCCCGGGGGACCGGGCCCTCGGGGCAACGCGCCGCCCCTTCCCGGACCCCAGCGCCCGAGGGCATCGCCGAGCAGGGCGCGCGGGGCGCGGACCTGGGGCGCCTGCACCCGGACTAGGTCCCCGTTGCAGATGGCTCTGAGCACCCCGGGGTCCGCGGGCTCCTGCCGCACCCGGAAGGCTGGTGGGCCCGAGGTCACGGTCGCCGCCAGGTGCGCCGTCTCGGGCATCTCTCTCCCTTGCTGGGGCCGCGGTGGCCCCAGTAGAGCCCAGAACCCTCGGCAGGGGTGGCCGTTCCTTCCCTTCACCCCGACGTTACTTTTGAGACACTTTAAAGCCTCCCGTAATCTCACCTTTCGCTTTTCCTCCTTCCTGGCTGTCCGCGCTGTCTCGACCTGCTGTGTCTCCATTGTGGAGTGGTGTGTGGGTGTGTGTGTCCCTCTGTCTATCTGTGCACGTAAGCGTCCCGAGTTAGGTGGACTGAGCCACCCTCCGCGCCCTTACCCAATCCAGCTCCTCTGACCGCCCTCCGAATCCAAGAATGCACGGAGCCTCAGCCCGTCCCGGAGCTGACTGCACACGTTCTTGTAGGATGCCTGGTGGATTTTGTACTCGTCAGGGTTACTGTCCTGTGCTCCTTCGGTGCTTTGCCTGGGGCGGAGGGCAAAAACAGTGGCCTGTGTTGTGACTTTCTCTCCCCCACCGGGAAACAAATAAAGAAGTTGTAGAAGCGTATTTGTTTTCAACAACAACAAAAAATACAACCTGGTGAAGGAAAGCCCACGGGGTGGTTCTTTACAGGGCGATAGCTGTCCTCAGTCTTCCCCTTTTGCATGGGGTTATGTGCATGCCCTTCACCGGGTGCCACTGGCTTAGGAGTTGTGTGCGTTGTGTGTTCCCAGCCTGTACGCTTTGTACAGAGCGTAGCAAACAGAGCCAAGAAGAGTGAAGCTGTCATCCTTTTCTTTTATTAGCTGGAAAGAAAACAAACCAGTCAGCCTCTGCTGCCTTGCAGCTCATGGCGCCCCTGTGTGTTACAGCGTAGGAGCGCTCTGTTGGCTAATTATGGAAGCAGGTCACCAGGCCTTTCTTCCGCAGACTGCCTTTAGGTTAGCAGGTTCTCTCAAACTGCTTGCTTCACCCAGGCTCCTACGTATTAGCCATTACAGCCAACCACACCTATTGCCAGAGAGGCGATTCTGAGCTACAGAAACCTGTCAAGTTGCAGACTTGGGGGGGCTTTGTTTTACACGTGCTGACTGTGGTCTATGTCTTTATTTCCAGATGATGTGCGAGGTGATGCCCACCATCAGTGAAGCCGAAGGCCCCCCAGGAGGAGGCGGGGGCCCCGGGTCCGGCTCCCCGTCCCAGCCGGACACGGATTCCCATTTTGAACAGTTGATGGTCTCCATGCTGGAAGAGAGGGACCGCCTTCTCGACACTCTGAGAGAAACTCAGGAGACGCTGGCGCTCACCCAGGGCAAGTTACACGAGGTTGGGCACGAGCGGGACTCCTTGCAGAGACAGCTCAACACTGCGCTTCCCCAGGTATGGCTGCTGCCCAGCTCCCACCCACTGGTTCATCGGGTGTCTGTCCCTTCTGTCACTACTGACATGAGTGTTGTGTGCAGCTGGTCACGTGATGGTTTCTGGTGATGGTAAGGCAGGCTTAGGTGAGGTTCCTGAGGACTCAGCTGCTTAGGGAGAACAAACTCTTTGATCCTCCAGAGTCGTGAAAATCCCTCCTAACTCGTTTCTCTCCTGGGCCTCAGAGGGGACTGCGAGGTGTGAGAAAGTATTTCTGCGGGTCTGAGAAGGCTGGGAAGCAGTCAGGCTCTGTGGGCCTGCTGCCCCACTGTCTTAGGCTGCTTCTCCAGGCATTCTGTCTGGTGCGTTTCTAGTTTCCTCATGAAAATTATCAGGCAAATTGGATTGTTTGTACAGAATGGGAGTTTTTTACAGCCCACCTTTACCAGAATACCTGTTTTCTACATCAGGGTTGTTTCAGAGTCGGAGGACTGGAGATGGACCCCTTAGGAACTTTCCGATGAGAATCGTCAGGTTTGCAATTATGTTGAAGTAATTACTCTGAGGGTGTTACGTTTGGACCAGTGTTTCAAAGCCTTTTATAGAGCAGGTGACTGAGGGTTTAATGGGAGGTGAGGGGGACAGTGGGCCAGTAGACAAGTGTACAGTGAGCGATACAGGGTGCGCTGGGCGATGTGTCGGTGGCATAGGTGTTGGTGATGTCCAGGTGCCGTTTCCCCCATTCAGAGTGTGCACCTTTCTGGGGCTTTTAGGGAGACCTGAGTAAGCTCACTTACGCCCCTGACAGATCTGTGGTGGCGAGTTGCTAAATTCAGTATTACCAGCCTTAATGCGTTTCTTGGCTTCAGTTGATTTTCTTGAAAGATTGGCAAGCCCAACATATGGATTTCCTTTTTAGCAATATTGATATGATAATGAGCACTGTGTTGTGTCTTCTGGTTGGGTTTATTACAGTCTTTTCAATGGCCAGGTTTGCTTAGGTCAGATTGCATTCCCACAAACTGAAAAGGATTGGCCACATTACTATGTTTTGCTGCAGTTTTATTGTATTTGCAAATCTTTATGAGAAAACCCACTGCCTTTGAGTCGATTCTCACTCACAGTGACTCCCATTGGGTTTCCAAGGCTGTAAATCTTTATGGAGGCAGATTGCCTCATCTTCCTCCTGTGGAGCAGCTGGTGGGTTTAAATCTATGACCTTCTGGTTGGTAGCTGAATGTTACCCACTACACTACGAGAACTCCTCCGCAAATCTTTATAGTAGTTTGTTTTTTGGTTTTGGTCACAGTATTTGTTGTCATGTAACTTGAGCTGGGTCTAGTGAGGTGTGTATGAAGTAGTTACATATTAGGTAAAGCTGTGTTTCGCAAGGATGGGCACCAAGGAGATGTGCTTGAGCAGCATGCTCTGGTGCAGAGGCAGTGGTGCCCCGGCCAGCGAGGCTGTGGCTCGGTGATTTGTTTCTCAGCGTAGTGGCCTGGAGATGCCAGGTGCAGTGGATACTGTCGCAGTGTCAGCAGTTCACATCACCACCTGAGCACCTGACACCAGTATTTCAGCAACTCAGTGGCCACTAAGTCAACTTCCCTGAGCTCATTCCCTTTCCTGGAATTTGCCACCTCTTTGCTGGCAAACAAGAAGCTCTGGTGGTGTAGTGGTTAAGGCATTTGGCTGCTAATCAGAAGGCCATTGGTTAGAACCAACCAGCTGCTCCATGGAAGGAAGATGAGGCAGTCTGTTTCCATAAAGATTACAACCTTGGAAACCCAATGGGAGTCTCTGAGTTGGACTTGACTTTATAGCAATGAGTCTGGTTTTTTTGGTTTTGGTGGCTACCATGTGACCAGATAGACCGATGACTAAAGAAAATTGACTTGTACTCCTGGTGCATTATATGGGCAAGTTCTAGTACATATTTTAAAAATTGAAGTAGAAATACAAAGTGCATCAGGAGAACACACACATCACAAGTGTCAGCTTGGTGATTTTTCTCAAAGTTGACACATTCACATAGCACCCCCCAGACTGGGAAATGGCACATTCCCACCTTCCCAGGACCGCCCCCCCCAGCGGTTGTCCCGAGGGTGGCCCTAGCTGTGGCTGTTACCATTGATGACTTCTTCATGTAAATGGAGTCAAGCAGCATATGTTTTTTTTACTTGTTCTTTCATTCATTCTGTTTGTGAGACTCATGTCTCCTGTGGCCTTGTTGGGTCTCGTCTGCTGTCTGGTATGTAGCCCAGTGTCTGAATACACCCTAATTCATCCTTCCAGCTGTTCACAGACATTATTAGGCTGGTCTCCAGTTTTTATAAATGCTGCTCTGAACATTCTTATTAGTCTTTTGTTGTAAATGTGAACAGATTTCAGTGGAATGGTGTTGTAGAGGGTAGGGTAAGTGTTTGTCCAACCTTGGTAGAGCTGCCAGGAGTGATGGTGCTACCTGTTTACCCCGTCCCGGGTGGTCTGTGAGTATCAGTTGCTCGTGGGCACACGCTGGGTTACTTTTAATCCTGGCGGTTTTTGGCTGCAATGAGCAGCAGTAGTGGCGTGTGTACAGTGGCAGTAGTGTCAGACCTCTAATTTCAGAAGAGTAGCATTAGCAGCAGCAGCCCAAGGCTGATTCCTGTGAGGCAGAGGTCAGGCATGCCTTCTCTCTGCGACCTTTCTACCAGTTCTGACACCAGCCGTCCCTCTCACTCTCTACTTCTCTGCTGGATTTGGTAATTCTTGCAGTGACCACACAGAACTCATAGGCCATACTCACAGTTATGGGATTTTTTAGGGAAGTAACAGGTTACATTCAGGAGCAACCTGGAAATACTGAAACAACCGAGGAAACGGTTCGTCCTCAGGATAGCTGCTTTTCAGCTGTGGCGGCAGGCAGGCCTCTGGCACCGGGCTTTTCTCAGGCCTGGCCTCTGTCAGATTTGGTCAAGTGTTGCTCTCTTTAGCTCACTGCTAGGTGCCTGGAGGTACCTCACTCTGCCAGAAGTCTCCTGCTTGAAGGCACTCACTTCTCCGTAGATCTGTGAACCCGCTGCAGGTGTCTCCTGGTCTGTGCTGCTCGCTGCCGCCTGCCGCCACTGCTGCCTGCAGTGTTACGGCTGTGTCCAGCGTTAAAGCACTCTGTCTCCGGGGTTTAGGAGCTTCCTGCTGCAGGGACACTGGGTCCAAAGGACACACTCTACTCCTAACTTTTCTTTTTGATGGTGATAACGTCCCTCTCAGCTGATGTGATTGGCTCTTGTTAAGCGGAGCCAGATGACAGAACTGACTAGTCCCCACAGTAGACCACAGGCGCTCATTTGCATTGCTTCATGCAAGGCCATATGCAAAGAGAGACGCTTTGCCCTACAGTAGTGCGATACGGTTTCAATTTGCTGCTCCCTGATACCCAAGGAAAGGAGCTCTGGTGGTGTAGTGCCTAAGGCATTTGACCACTAACCAGAAGGTTGGCAGTTCAAACCCACCAGCCACTGTGAGGAAGATGGGGCAGTCTCCTGTAAACATTAACAGCTTTGGAAACCCAATAGGGATCACTGAGTCAGAATCCACTCGATGGGTGTAAGTTTGGTTTTTTGGTTTTTCTACCCAGTGAACTTGCCAAGCCTCCTCTTTGTGTGTGTGTGTGTGTGTGTGTGAGTGAGTGAGTGTGAGTGTGAGTGTGTTACCCTCTTGAATGTCTCCTGTGAAATGGCTGTCCAGATAGGTATTCTGTTCCTTTTCTGATTGGGTTATCTGTTTTGTTTCTTATTGATTTGAAAGAGGTCTTTGTATACTATAAATATAGTATCCATACTGTAAATACATACAATATACTGTAAATGTACACACACACTGTAGAGACACACTGTAGAGACACACATGCATTGAGTAAATGCATGCACATACACTGTAAAGAGATGTATGTGTGGCAGTATTTTCTTACTCTGTGTTTGCCTTTTCACTCAGTAGTTTTTTTTTTTTAATCTTTATTTTTTAATTGTGATTTGGGTGAAAGTTTACAGAGCAAATTTGTTTTCCATACAGTAGTTCATACACATTTTGTTTTGGGGCATTGATTGCAATCCCCATAATGTATCAGCTCTCTTTTCGGCTGTTGTTACCTTTTCCCTGTGTTCTTTGCTGTGCATTCCTGCCCTCTGAGCTATCTCCCTGTGCAAATGCTGCCCTTCTCATTTCCCATGGTTGGTTGCTCTAAGGAGTGCACCCCTCTGGTATAATTGTTCACCATGTACGCCTGACTCTTATTTGGCTGGAAGCCATGGAAGTGAGTTCAATTCCAGGCCTGAAGGGTGACCAGGAGCCATAGTCTTAGGAGTTTCACCAGTCTCTATCAGACCAGTAAGCCTGGTCTTTTTAATTTTTTTAAAGATTTTAATGATTTTGAGTTTTGTTTCATATTTTCCTCCCACTCTATCCAGGATCTCCAATTTTCATCCCTTTCCCAGTGATTAGCACAGGTAACCAGGTACCATCTAGTCTTCTGGTCTCAGGGTCACATAGGCTGAGGTTCGCATGGTCCACTAGTTCCTGGGAATAATTGTTTCCATGTGTCTTTGATTTTCTTTATTCTTCTTTGCTCAAGATGAGGAGAGACCAGTTGTTGCATCTTAGATAGGCACTCACAAGCTTGTAAGACTCTGGTTGCTACTAACAAAGTAGGATGTAGAACAGTATTTTTGTGTAGTATGTTATGCCAGTTGAGCCTGATGTCCCTTGTGACCATGGTACCGAACTTGAGGGCCCAGCGACTCACTCCCTCAAGGTGGTCGGCTGTGGCTAAGAAGTTAACTGTAATTTTGCACCGTTTAGCTCTATTATATATATATGGACATTTTTATTGTACTTAAGGAGCTCTGGTGGTGCTGTGCCTGAGACATTTGACTGCTAGCCAGAAGGTTGGTGGTTCAAACCTACCAGGCACTCCATGGAAGGAAGAGGCAATCTACTTCTATAAAGATTTACCACCTTGGAAACCCAACGTGGGTTGCTGT